TAATTTTTCGATGCTCTAATAGCGCGATTAGTTTTGTGCGAATTTCTACTGTCTTTGGTATTACACGTAGTTTTGTTTTGTTTATTTTTGAGAACACACAGCTGTACATGGGCATTTGGCATCTAATGAGAAGCTGTGTCGCTTGTTGCGTTTCAGTCCATACATCGACGGGTGGAATTTTGTTTGATCTTTTTACTTTGTCTTTCTCATTGAAATTGCTCAGTTCGATGTTTTCACTGCTATCTTCGTATTCACTATCACCTTCGTTGGCGTCGCTTGCATTGTGTTCATTGTTTTCATTGTCTTCGATGTCACTTTCGTCCGATATTGTCACCGTATTTAAGACTTGGTTTCTTTCGTTTACGTTTGTATTTGCACTCGCGTCTTCACTCATACTCACATCATCTTTCGTTTGCTCGTTTGTGGTTGAGTTTGCGCTTGTGTTGGTAGCGTCGTTTTGGCTTTCGTTGTTTATTTCTGATCCGTTTGGTGTTGCTTCGCTTGTTTCTTTACTGGCTTGTTTTTTCAGCACATTTTTTTTTTTGCTTTTTCTATTTTTTACACTACTTTTTCTATGTTTTTTTTCTCGTTCTTTTTTTTCATCATTCATTTGTTTGATTGTTTGCTTCAATTCGGTAAGTAAGTCCGTCAATGCAGTCATTTGCTGCCTCATTTGGGCGAGTTCAGCTTCTAGCATGCTTGACCTTTCTTGTTCTTTCGTGTATAAATCGTGTAAATATGATTGAAAATCAGCCTCATCATCTGACAATTCGTTCTTTTTCCGTTTGTTGCTTTGCTTTTCCGTGTGCGATGTGCCTGGTTTTTCCGTTGCCGTGTCTTTTGCCATTTTATAACGTTTGTTTGAACACTTGTAACAATACACTTGCTCTTAGATGTGCGTCTGCACTCGTTAACAGCTGACGAGCTACTGACAAAGACCAATATTTATGTAGTTGTGATCAAAAATACGTACGCAATAGCCTAAGATATGACCACCTTGCCATAGTACGAATTTTCGGCCAAAAATTCGCCGATGGCCAAAACTTTGGCATAGAGGCCGAATTCAGAAAAGTGCTTCCTACATTTTCGTTAGGTCTTGGCCCCAGCAATACGTGGTTAAAATATTGGCACGCAATTCTGTTACACCCTGTATATAGCGAGTTCGACTTTCAGCACAGAGGTGCTTTCGTCACTCGCGCCTGCTGTCGCCGGCTGTGATTCGTGTAGAGAAATGTTCAATGAGACTTAACTCCGGTTGGTTTATACACTGTTTAGTACTTTTATTCACCTTTAAAGTTCGCTTGGGGCCCTGGATTCCCCAAAAACCGTCATAGTGTTAAAATGCAGTTCGAATTCCATCCGTCCATTGTGATAATTTCTTCACAATTTCTGTTCTCATTCCCTGTCAATAGTTGCTGTGAAAATTTGAATTTGCAGAACTCGCATGTCAATCCAAACGGTGAATCGACGTTGAATGTTGATGCAATTGACAGCCTAAGAACAAAATAACAACTTCTGAACTCTTTTCCGATAAATGAAACGAAAAAAACTTAGAGCAAAAAAGAAACAACTGAAGTTGCGAGTAAAAGTGACTCAAGTGGGCATTGAGCGGGAAACACGTTTTTCCCATCCTCCCGTACCCGAAAAATCCCTTTTTGGGGTGTCGTAATGTATGTCCGTCCGTACACTGTACGCAACAATTTTACGCTCAAAAAGTTTTTGAGATAATTACAATCTGTAAGAGCCAAAAGTTTTGAAATGTTGAGGATTCGATGTGATTAAATTTTGAGGGCAATCGCACCCCCTTGGGTCCCAAATATACGAAAAACCCTCAAAAAATGACACTTTTGTATGGGAGGTACCTTCAAATCTCGTCCGATCGACTTCAACTTTTCTAGGCATCTATATACACAGTACAACATTTTTTTGGTGATGTCTGCACACATTGGGGGTTTGAATGCACGATGATAGAGGACCTCAAAACAAACACTTCTGCATCATTAGTTTGTCAGGGAGACGTATTCTTAAGAAAGTTATTGTATTTGGCGAATTTTGAGTAAGCCTTTGCATAAAATAGGTCTGAAACATTAGATTTTGTTAGAAATTTATATTGATATATGCATTTTCAGAAAGGGTGGTTCCCGAGATATAGAACTAAACGTATTTGAAATCAGTGAAAAATCGACGATCCAAACTAAAAACTAAAATTTTGTTCGGGAGGTACCTAATTTCTTATCCGTTTGGCTTCAAATTTGGTATGGAGTAGTTTTTTCATGTAAAAATAAGATTCCAATACCTAAGTTGCTGTTATATCTCCAAAAAAGAATAGTCGCCGAACAAAATTTTCCATTTTTCATTGGTTTTTCTACCGAAGTCAAAAATTTGTTCGGGAGGTACCCTAATAGCTTGTCCTATTGTGTTGAAATTTATCCAAGTTATGATTTTTGATAGAAAAATGAGATTCTGAGAGATTCATGGCGATACCAAAACCAATTTTATTATTTTTGACGTCTTTTCTGTTTGAAAAATCCTTGACTCATCTCACGTCCTTGTGGATTCTACTCAAACTAGCCTTTCAATACCCATGCGAGGCAATTAATTTTCTTCGTAGAGATGCCACCTACGAGATGAAGTGTAAAATGTGCATACATGTGATGTATTCGTGAAATTTTAATGAACTACATGCAAAAAATGGTCAGAATCGATGATTTTTCACTTTTTTCGAATACGTTTAGTTCTATATCTCGGGAACCACCCAAACGATTTTGATGAATGGGGTACCAAAATTTATGGAAAAGTCTCGCCTTTCTGAAAATGCATATATAAATATAAATTTCTAACAAAATCTAATGTTTCATACCTATTTTATTCAAAGGCTTACTCAAAATTCGCCAAATACAATAACTTTCTTATTAATACGTCTCCCTGACAAACTAATGATGCAGAACTGTTTGTTTTGAGGTCCTCTACAATCGTGCATTCAAACCCCCAATGTGTGCAAACATCACCAAAAAATTGTTGTACTGTGTATTTTGATGAAAAAATGAGATTCTGAAAGTTTCATTCTGATCGGATCTGCAGAAATAAATTTTTCTTTCCCAAATATATGAAAATTAGCCCAAAAAGGAAACTTTTGTATGGGAAGTATCCCTAAATCTCGTCCGATCGACTTCAAATTGTACTGGGCATCTATATTTTGATGAAAAAATGAGATTCTGAAAGTTTGATATCGATCGGATTTGCCTAAGTCACATTATCGAACGAACGTATGACTTTCCGGGTCCTACCGATTTTTCTCTTTTTTCCCGCCAAAATTCAACTTTTAGACATTCAAAATTATTTCTCATTATTATTTTTGAATTCTTTGTACCCGAAATGGATTAATAGCATAGCTTGGTGAGATTCGATAGTGAATATTTGCAAACATGTATTGCCATATTAAACTGCAGAACACAAGCTCATCATCAGATTTCCAATCGGCAGAAAATATTATTGTGTCTAACCATAAGTCATTGATTGATATAAAGTGATTATAAAGCCTCATTGTGACTTTCATACGTGTGTGTAAGAACAAAAAATTTCAAAAATTGTGAAGTTATAACAGCGTAATGATTTATTAAAATTGATATCAACTGTTACGTGATCGCTTTCGTCACGAGGAATTACTTCGAAAGAAGTTTTTTTTATTTGACAAAATTCATGTGGTGTCACTAAGAGGACCTCAATAACTTTCAAATAAGCCAATATTCATGTAGTTGTGATCAAAAATACGTACGCAATAGCCCAAGATATGACCACCTTGCCATAGTACGAATTTTCGGCCAAAAATTCACCGATGGCCAAAACTTTAGCACGGCATAGAGGCCGAATTCAGAAAAGTGCTTCCTACATTTTCGATGGGTCTTGTCCCCAGCAATACGTGGTTAAAATATTGGCACGCAATTCTGTTACCCTGTATGTGAATTATGAATTTTTAAATTTGTCTAAATATTTTAAAACTCACTTTATAATTTGTCACAAATTGAATAACAAACTTAGAGAAAAAATGGTACAATGAAAATCTGCTTTTTTCAAAACAAAAAATTCGATCACGGAATTCTCATTCAAATTTTCAACCATTCCATCTATTTAAAAAGAAAGAAGTGTTTATTATTGGCCGATTCATCGGCCACTTGGCGACGCTAATAATATTGGAATATGTTTTAACCATTTTTCCCCTTATAATTGCATGTTGGACCCCATTAGTTGGGTACTTTCGTCACTCGCACCTACTGTCGTCAACTGTAATAAAAATAACATCACTGTTGAAAAATTCTTCCGAACGAAACCTGCAACCAAAAGGCCATTTTTCAACAGGAATTCTTGGTATAAGCAGTGTAAGTTTTTTTTCATAAAAACGTTTGGTGAAGATAAATTCGTAAAAATTTCCTTCGAAAATTGATTTCCTTTAGTTCAAGAGACACCCTGTGAATAAATTATGCTTCGAACCTACGTCATTTACGTGAACAGATGCTACAGATCACAGATCAATGTAGACAATTTATATCATCTTCAACGGAGTATCGAAACACATTGATTATTCTGAAGATTTTTCAACACGCTTACTCAGATACGCATGTTGCCTGAACACACACAAATATAACATAAGTGTATAACTATCAAATTCAGTTAGTCTTGCTACATTTGTGACTTCGTTTAATCTTTTGTTCATCAATTTATTTCTTATCAATGCTGTACGAGTGCTACTAATCAAGAATATTCCGTTCGAGCTCAGTTTAGTTCAGTGACTGTAGCTGAACACAAGTTGTAATCCTGACAAAAGCGACTCGAATGTTGTCGATACTCATACTGTGAAGTGTTATGTGTAGTGTGTTAATATATTATTGCTTTGTGAGAATTGATATGCACAGAAATTATAATTGTGAACTCTTGCTTTATTTCAAGACGTTTATTTTTCCTTCACCAAAAATTTCCTTCTTCTCAACGGATTTGCATTAAATTAAAACACATTTTGAATTCAAAAATATTCATTTAAAGTTCAAATGGCAATTTGATTAAACAACCATTTTAGTGGAACAGAAAAATATAATGAATGATATTTTCTTTCTATTTTGTCGCAAAAAAATTATACTTTTGTTTGTTTTTAATTACAAAAAAAAACTCTGAAATACTAGGACTAACTAATTCATTTATTTTAGTCCGACTTAGAGGAGGTATGAATAGAATAGTTGTATAAGTGTGTCGTCAAAAATAGCGAGGAAGTTCATAGACACTCGACCGCTACGCTTTATCACAAGTTTTTGAAGTACATTTTGAACTAACCTTCCACTTTTTTTTCTTTTCTTTTCTTTAAATTCTGAATGTGTTTTTCAATTCAAAAAATCTAGTTCAATTCACATAGGCGTAATATTATTTCAAATCATTATAATCAAGGGTATCTGTTCACATCTTACCGGGCAGGATTAGATTAAAGTTACAATTCTAATACTGTCAGGTAAAGATGTCGTCCGAGCTCTAATGCAACGAATATATATTTATATATATATATATATATATATATATATATATTATTGAATTATCCCATTGTAAATATAACAAGATAATTATATTTATGCTAAATAAACCACCTCTGGCAAAGAAACGCTGTATGGTGCAGAATAATAATAATAATATGTATAAATATATATAAAAGAATAGTTACTACAAGCGTAGTACTTGGCGTATCTGCAAATAGTGGAACATTATGTTGAATTAGTCTAGGATTTGGACAAGCTCGAAGATTTGGTTAGTAAATGAGTTCAAAACTTTCAAATATTTATTTCAATCACAATGAATCTGTAGCTAAAATTAAATGTTTTCACGCAGAAAAATGTGTTTTTGAATTCATTCTTGTACGCAGACTTCTGAATTTCTTGTCATAGTTCCAATTTGCACCTTTGGGAATATAACTAACATGACCCCATTTTTTCCAACTTTGGAACTTGAACTTACTGAAGAAAGTGACTTGAATCCATCGCATCAAAAGATAAAAAGAATTACATTGGTAATCCCGAACTTTTCCGTACCGTTGGCCTGCGTTGTCCGTAGTTACTTTTGGTTATTTTTAGTGAATTTTCTTGAAATAAAGGCAGTGAAAATATAATAATAAAAATAAAGTGAAAAATCGGTCACTTTAACTAAAACTTCAACAATTTTATATGAGAGGTACCCTTTAATCGATTCCTATCGACTTCAAACTTTCTGAGGTTTCATTTTTTGGAGAAAAAATAAGATTCTGAAAGTTGATCACATTTGCAGAAGTTTGGTTTTTGGCCCTCAATTTTTTCCAAGAAAATGTCGACAAAATTTGAGGACAAAAAATCAAACTTCCGTAAATGCGATCAACATGAAACTTTCAGAATCTTATTTTTTCTCCAAAAAATGAAACCTCAGACAGTTTGAAGTCAATCAGAATCGATTAACGGGTACTCCCCATACAAAATTGTCCAAAAATCGGTAATTTTAGTCAAAATTTCGAAAAATTTGTATGGAAGGTACCCGTAAATCGATTGCGATTGATTTCAAACTTTCAGAATCTTATTTTTTTCCCAAAAAATGAAATCCCAGAAAGTTTGAAGCCAATCGAAGTCGATTTACAGGTACCCCCCATACAAAAGTGTCAATTTTTTGAGGTTTTTCTTAGGGCAAGTACCCCAGGATCAAATCGAGAATGGCTCATCTTCGAACTTAAACTAAGTTTTTCGAACCATACATCCATAACAAACAGCTACGACGACGACAACGACAACGACAACGACGAAGACGGCACACGAACGGAAAAGTGTCTCAAAAAGTGGTTTTATACGCGTTTCATGAGTTTTTATGATGATCTAAGCTAATTTTGCGAAAAAAGTTTTCGAGACCAATTCCTATACTTTCCCTTGACACGTTGTGTACGGAAAAGTAAAATCACATTGTTGTTAAATCAACAGAAAAGATCAAGTCCGAGTGTATTCCGTTTCAACAAATTTAGAACTATTTTGGAACAATTTAGCACACTTTTAGAACCTTTTTAGCACAGTTTTAGTACAAACTTAGCTAATTACTACTTTTTCTATGCTTACATTATGATTTAGATCTGTTTGATTGCGTGTGAAAAATATTCAAAAATTGGTTTATTTGGATTTTCGTTCATAGTGGCTTAGCAAGGCCTGGTTGCGGTCAAATGCTAATTTCATCAAGACCATTCCCACCTAAAATTGCACACTGAACACTTTTTCAGAAGTAACCATATGCGTAAAACCATCAGGAATTGAAGAAATTGTGATATATTGAATTATGACGATTTTGCTGTAATCTGGAAATACATATCCCTCTAAATCACTAAAATGGTTCAATATATGAAATCTAATGATGCAGTTTTTCTTGGTTTGGACTCAATTATAGGAACCAATTGAAATTTGACAAAGAGCTGAAGAGAAAAACTTTTTTCACATCGACCGGTACCTTTTTTGGTGCAATTTCGCAGTTGGTTTAGTATTTTTACATTTTGACACGTGTAAAATCACTGTATGAAGGTTCAAATCAAAAATTCTGATCATTTTCCGTTGATTTAATGTTTTGGCCATTGATGTTTCTGTTGAAAATCTGATGTGAGAGCGCTACTTAGTAAAATTTCTATCAAAAGTGTAAACCGACGAAATTATTGGCACCAAAATGGGTTCAGACTGGCCGGCAATGGTCATATTTGGATTGTACGGAAAAAATTGAGTCGATATAGGCTCAAAAACTGTATTGTAAGTAGTGATTTTGAGGTTTCATGACGTTATTGTAGCAAAAATGTGAAATTTCGGTCGATTTTGGCCATATATCCACCCCTAACAGCTCAGTTTTGCACTTTAGAGCATTGTAATATTGACCAAAATTGTAGTACTGGACGCCAGCAGTAAGATCCAGTCATTTGTTGTCCAGTATAATTGCGATATAGTACCAAAATTTTTGAATATTCTTCAATGTATTGATTTTATTCCCCTACAAACTACATAGCTCTCGGGGGAGTGGATTTGATTAGTAAAAGTATGTCGGAAAATAGCTTAAATTTATTTTTTCGGCCCAAATTTTCGGATCAGCGGTAAGGAGCTGCAAATTTTAAAACATTTGGCATTTGGGCCACCCTAATGTACACTTGCTAGCACCAGTTGGCGACAGCGATGAGAAATACCAGCGTTGTATCATGCCAAATTAAAAATCTGGTGTACATAATTCCGTTAAGTATTCTTTTGTAATGTGTAATTCCCGACTACTAAACTTTTTTTAATTAGAAAGATGCGCTTGTATCATTAAAAAATCGTTCATTCTTCTATTTTGATACAATTGAGTGGTCGGGAATAATTCTTTTACTTTTCCTCCTCGAAAGAAAACCTTAAAAATTGACACTTTTGTATGAGAGGTACTCCGATTGGATTCAAACTTTCTGGGATTTCATTTTTTGGGAGAAAAATAAAATTCTGAAAGTTTGAAGTCAATCGGAGTCGAAGACGCATACCTCCCATACAAAATTGTCGAAATTTCGACTACAATTACCGATTTTTCGACAATTTTGTATGTGAAATACCCGTAAATCGATTCCTATTGGCTTCCTTCCATCTTATTTTTTCTGTAAAAAATGAAACCTTAGAAAGTTTGAAGCCAATAGGAATCGATTTACAGGTACCTCCCGAACAAAATTGTCGAAGTTTTGACTAAAGTGACCGATTTTTCAAGAATTTTTTTAAAAAATCCAAAAATACGGACATCGGTACGGTAAAGTTTGGGATTACGAATGTAATTCTTTTTATTTTATTTACACCGCCAAAAACTGGCTGAATATTTTGATTTGCAGGAAAACGACTCCAAGAGTCGTGAAAAACCCGTAATACGATAGCTTGAACAAAAAATACATTGCTTCTTATGGAGGCTAAATGGATGAATTTTTGTAAGAGCGCCTCTAGTGAAAATATCTTAGAATGATGGAATATTTCGAACTTTAATACGCTTTTCTGCTAATTTATCCAAACTCACCTCTTAAGTGGTAGATTAAAACCAATAAATATTTACACATCGAAATATCTCGAAAACGGCTGGGAAAATCGGCAAAATGGACCGTGGTGTCACTCCCTGTAGGGAGTGTAGACACCCGGCTGGTTTGATGGCCCAAAGTTCAAATCCAGTGGATTCGGGCTGATCCATGGGTTCTCAGGTCTGATTCCCAGCTTTTCCTTTCCTGTGAGCATCTTTACAAGTCACACTCATGTTTTGTATGGAATTTCACCACAGAACAAGTACTGGTGGGATCAGGCCAAATCCCGAGAAACCCATGGATGAACTCAAATCCACCGAAAAAAAGAAATTTCGGACGGACAATTTTTTGTCCGAAATTTGTCCGAAAATTTCAATGAAACTAAAAACACGTTTTTCCCATCCGTTCACCAAAAATTTCAATTTTTCAACAAATTGTTCGCGTACAATAGCATTAAGCTAATAATTTTCCAACGAATGATCGTATCTTGATAAGTACTTTCTTCCGATACTTCTTAATGAAAATTGTATGAAGAAAAATTCTCAGAACTAATAAGAAAAATTATTACATTTCCGCAAACTTTGTTTGTGTGGAAAAGTATTGGTTTGACTAGCCAAAATTTCATGACATCTCCACTTTTGGACCGACAAACTTCAAAAAGCACATATCTGTACACTAAGCAATGTAGATGGGATGAAATCCTATCGATCAAGACCTATCTGCCTCCAAAAACATGTTGTTTACTATGAAAAATGTGCAAAATTGCGATGTGCGTATGGCGTCGCGTTTTTTGTTCGCCGATTATCTCAAAAAGTTGACAAGATAATTGAGATATGTAAAAGCCAAAAGTTTTGGCATGT